CAAGGTGTGAGAGACTTGGTAAAGGTTAATTGCGCTCTTTTTATCGTTGCATCACATATGGTACTACTATTACCTAATTTTAAAAGAAGTGAGAACTTACTTCTGGTTTAATATATATATATATATATATATATATCAAAAGTTGGCGATTTGAAATTACCAGGGTTTCAACCTCTAACATTTATCTCAAATTAATATTTTTCAATTAATAGATATCAATCAACCAAACTATTATTTGTTCAACTTACTTGTATTATGGTACTTAATTGACATCCATCCATTTACTTATTTTATAATTTACATGTTGTAGGGGATGGAATTGGACATTCTAATCAGCCTAATTATTTCTGAGAAAATTCTGCAACAAAAAAATAAAAGGAATTTGGGAAGAAAGGGTATTACAAAGAAAGCTAGTGCAATGAAAGGAAAGGCATTTTAGAATTTTTCAATGAAATGAATGAACTTATACATTCATCATCTCTGCTTCTTCAACATCACTGGCCCCACCACCACTTGAACCAATGACCTCAACTGGTTATTAGTGGGTTGCAACCAACGTTAACGAGGTCAAGTGAAGAGTGGTGGTTGTGGTGGTGGGAGTCTATCTGTAGAAAATAAAAAAGAAGGTATTTTAGAATACCTCGTATTTATATGTAAAGAGTACAGGGACCAATATTGGAATTAACCCTCTGTAATCAATACAAGCAGAAGGATCATCAGATAAGCAAAGCAGAAGCACCAAGGCTCGAACCTCAGCAGTTGGACAGGGAGCGCTAGTCAATTCCCTTTTCACCGGTCCAACCACCAAGGTATGAGAGCCCTGGTGACTAATCGGTGCGCACTTTTTATCCTTGTTTAATATTACCTGATCCCTATAATTTCCCCTACCCATAATAAGAAAAGGGCCTCCTTAACTTCAAACTGCTAGAATAACTGACCAAAGTATTGATAAGATTGCATTTTCTCACTCGAATAATTAGGGTTTAAACTTTCGTTTTCATTCCCACTCCTTGAAGATTTCAACCAACTGATTTGTTTCATAAAAAAAAAAAAAAATCCTATCCCCTAGAGTCATTTTCGAGAGAATTGCAAGAATTGGTGATCTTGACTTGCAAACATCATGGCATTTTTACATGATAGGATAGGAGTGAGCATTCGCTATGAGTATATCTATTATTTGTAAATACTTTACCTATTTGGGTAAGTATCTTGCCTAAATTTTAAAAAAAATTACATAAGTAATGGGTACAAAAATAATATATCTGCAAATATCAAGTCAAGTAATAGTATAAAGAATTAGAATTGTTTACCCAATCTATTTAACTATTTTATTTAATTGACATGTTATCTGTATTTGTATGCTTGAAATTTTATATACACTTACTATACTTAATATCTATAAAATAAAATAATTTTTAAAAATAAAAGTAATAAAATATAAAAACAAAAATAAAAGAAATCATACACATAGTTTATAAATAATAAATCTTAAATCAAACACATATTGTCTGTGCAACCAACAATTTTTTTCTTTCCTTGCACTTTTAGGCAACTGTAGGCACTTATAACTTCAAATTTTGATTTTTTTTTTTTTTTTAGTTTTCTTTTTACTTTTCTATTAGTGATTTTTTAGGTATAATCTTTGTTTATTGTATAGATATTTTTTAGTTTTAAACTCCAAATTTAACAAGAATCATAAGTTAAAAGTATGAACATCATAATGTTAAAATAGATCTAATACCATTAGTACTATTCATTTCTAATGAATCAAAACAGAGAATTAGAGAGACTATAAACCAAAAAACCTAGACATTTCTTTGAAGGGTTTTCATTCTATTATTTAATTTATTTTCATTCTTCATTTTTTGGTATATATTTTTCATTCTTTATTGTTTACTATTTAATTAAGTTTAGTTTTTTAACAATACGTACATTTGAGTTCTAGATATGAAACCTAATTTTAGTTTTTTATTTTTATTTTAGATTATATTTAAATTTAAATTGTAATAAATAATATTTTATTAAAATTTTACCATTTTTATTTAAGTTGAGATTAAAAATAAATAATATTTTATTAAATTTTAATCTAAAAAAATTTAAAGTAAAATATGATTAAACAAATATATAAGTATATACTTACAAGTTATTTAGTATCAATTAAGTTAAGTATCAAATATAATAATATTTTATTAAATTTTAATCTAAAAAAATTTAAAGTAAAATATGATTAAACAAATATATAAATATATACTTACAAGTTATTTAGTATCAATTAAGTTAAGTATCAAATATAAATTTTTAAATATTTAAATAAGTACCAAATTTAAAAAGATATACTAAAAAATTTTAAATTAAGTATCAAAATATATGTTATATCTAACGTGTACCCAAAAATACTCATTCCCTACTGATGAGACTAACAAAGGGCCACACGGACACGGCCCACGGTACCATTTTTCCTTAATAAATTTAAAATTTAGAAACAGTGGTTATGTATTGGGATTGTTTGGAAAAAGGAAGGTATTTTAGAATACCTCATTTTTAAATGATTTTTTTTTTTTTTTTTTTTTTTCTGCTGGAGAGTGGTGTAAGACTTGCAAGTACCAAGACTCGAACCCTGGCCAACTAGAAGGAGAAGAACCTTACTCCTCGATTTCCAGCCAACAGGGTCAGGAGCCCGAGTAACGCTAGGAGCCAACCTTTTTATTTGTATAATACATGCACGGCGAAACAAAGGCCCGTAAATGGACGATTAAGTAGTAGCCTTGCAAAGAAAAAGGGTTTGCAAACATGTAGCATTTAAAGGCAACTACTTAAGCTCATTTCTCTTAGTATCCACCAGGCCACTATTTTCTAAAATAGGAATGCTAAATACAATTAGCTTTGCCTTGCATTGAACTAGATAGGCTACCTCGGGAAATGAAGAGTAAAAAGAACACAAGTTGTCTTTTTTTCTTTTATGAAATATTTCCCATACAAACAAACAGTCTCCAAGGCTCGAAAATGAAGGGTTGGATAGAAATAGAGGCATCCTTTTGTCCAGTAAGGTTAAGGAGAGACTTGTGCTATGTGTTTGCAAACTTTTATTTTTTTTTAATTAAATTTTTCAATATCCAAAAATCATATTAAATTTTGATTAATTTAAAGTTAATTTATATCAAGCTCCATAAAAAAAAGTTTTCTTAATATTTGTCTCTTCATTTATAAGACTTAAATTTAAGATTTTACTCAAAGGAAATCGAGTTTTTTCTACTTAAACTAACAAGTTATTAGTTTTTTTTAATTAAATCTTTCAATATCCATAAGTCAAATTAGATTCTAATTAATTTAGTGTTGATTTGAATCAAACTCCATAAAAGAAAGGTCTCTTAATAAGCACCTATCTTTTATTTATAAGACTCAAATTTGAAATTTCACTTAAAAAGAATCGAGTTTTTTCCACTTAAACAATAAATCGTTAGTTTTGCAAACTTTTATTTAATGAAGTTGATAAAGCCAAGTCCTGTTATGTTTTTATGAATATTCAAGGTTATAATAATAGAATTTTTTAAAGAGTATAGGTTAAAAAATAAATCTATTACAATTTTTTATCTTTAATTTTAGCAACCATTTAATTAAAATCTTTCGCATGACGTTGGTGTTAAAAATAAAGTTTATTTTGATAATTTTTCATATAAATTAATAATAAAAATATGTGATAAATGTACATTTAAAACACAGGATAAAAAAAAACCCTCTAATAATTTAGAGAATGGAGATATTTGTTAGTTCACTTTGAATCATTAAATAAAGAGTTTTTTAAATTTGTGCTTTTAGGACACATGTTACGAAAATAATTTATTTATTTTTTTATCATTAAATTATATAGAAAAAATAAAATTTGACTTTAATTTTAACAACTAATTAATTAAATTAAAACATGTGATATTAATACTAAAATTAATATATGCCCTTAGATAAATAATGGTTGTAGTTCCAAGCTCTCAGACTCAGCCATTGCAGAGAACGTGTAGAAAGGATGGAGGAAATGTAGGAGAGGGGAGGGGATAATTGGAGAAGGAAAAAACATTTTAGTATTGTAAAATAATAAAGAAAATAGATAAAAGAAGAATTATAGAGATTTGTAAGAGCAACATCAACAAGAAGAAAAAAAATCTGTAACTTCTTTTCTTATTTTACATAAAGTGTATTTTATATATATATATATAGTGTAATTATTTATACACAATAGATTATAACTTTAAAAAATTAAATTTCACTATACAATAATACAAATAATTTTCATTGAAAATGTTGGGGAAATAAGAGCATGTTTGGGTTAACTTGTAAAAGTTTTTACTTTTTTTTTTTATATTGTTTATAAGTGATAAGTTTAAATTTTTATTGGAAGAGAAACTTAAAAGTTGTTTTTAGAGATAAAAAAAAGTGAGTAAAAAGAGAGTTCATAAAAAGTTTGGATTTGAAACTTTTGAACTTTTATTGTTTGAGATCTTTTTAGAGTTAAAAAAATTTTTAAAATATAAATTTTTTTTTTAAAAAATTTAAATTTATGAAACATGAATAGTATCAAAAAGTTGAAACACTTTAAAACTGAAAACATGCTCTAAATGTACTAATAAGTGTCGTTGAATTAGTAGTCATCCATTATATGGATGAGAGATAATGAGGGATAATGGTTATCTGTTAGAGAATAAATTAATACCCAGAATACATTTCATTGTAAATCATACCTGAACCTTTCAATGGGTGTTTAATCAAGAAAATTAGACTTTCTAAAAAAAAAATGTTACTTTTTGAGTTTGGACCTTCAAAAAATAATTTTTAAGAAAAGAATTGATTTTATTCATTTAAATTAAATTGCAAACCGAAAGCACCTTAACGTCTTTTCCTTTGCCATGTAAATGCAGTGGATCCAACTATCCAAGAAATACAATTCATCGAGAGGAGGTGCCATGAGATGCAAAGTTGACGTGCATGGGCTGGTTTCAGTCAAATTTCGGTGGATAGAAGAGTAAAGAGAGGCAGTTTTAGAACCGTTTGAAAAACAGATTAAGAGATGATTCACCCCTTTGCTCAACCCTAATAACCAAAGTTTGAGTAAAAAGGTAGTGGGAGATGAAAAAAGAGGTATTTTAGAATCAAAATATTGTTTTATAGGATGAATTATATGTAATCTGTTTTGTAAAATTATTTAAATGTCTTTAAAAAATATAAAATAAAATTTAAGGGTATTTAAAAAATTTTACAGGATGAACTGCATACAATTCATCATATAAAATAATTTTCTGTTTTAGAATACCTTATTTGTAATTAAAGTTTGTGGTAATAACCATGCTTATGGTGGTGGTGGTGTTCTTTCTGCTGCTGCTACGAGGACTGGAACCATTGCAAATTGAGAAGATACAAGGAAATTAACCTGCTTTTTCAACCACAATGCTCATAGCGAGTCTTGGTGACACTGCAATACGAACATATAACATTTGGTTATAGGATATTGATTGTTCACCCAATTAAGTTCAACTTTTATAAACTCGAAGTCATTGAAATTGTTCCTTGTGGGAATATATATCCTTTAGATATATGTATTTTTAACCGGCGAAGAGAATGATATTAATGGGAAGTGTAAGAGGTATTCCAATATGTTACACATCCAACAGTTCAATAGGATGCAAAATAGAGAACTAAAAGCAACAGAAATCTAACTGCATAGCATGGACCCAACACTGGATGCAAGGTCCCCTACAAATTCCAAACAAAATTGATCACTCAACTAAGTTAAGCAGGGCTGCACTTGGAGATTTGTGGAATAGAGATAATTCATGCCATAAATTAGCTTAGCTTCTTTAGATTTTTTTTTAATAGTAAACGACAATTTTGTTAAATTGAGAACACAAGGATATATCAACCTATCTTAACTTGCTTAGATATTAAAAATTGTTAATTTTGTTTTCTCTGTTAAGTACTTGTATCATTTTATCAATCATTTTAGATAATATATAGCATATGTCTGAAGCAAAAGACATACCTTACTTGCTATATAATCCATTTCAATAGGGGTAATTTAAGTATTTAACTCAGTCTTAATTTTATTAAAGGCAGACAATCTACCACTAATGATAGTAAAATCATGAAAAATTATTTCTGTTTTGCTTATCTAACATGATATGCATGCATGCATGTTCAATTTGCTTGAAAGCGTAACATATTTTTTCCTTTTCACCCCATAATCTCCAATTCAACGGAAGGAAAAGAAATTCATATTAACTAGACTACTGTTATTAGCTATGCTAGAGTGTCAAAAAGGAACAGAAAAGGGGAAAAAAATGTGGAAACAGAAAAATGGCGCAAAAGGAGGTATTTTATAATACCTCATTTGAGGGTAATAAACGTACGTTCCCATTTCTGCATCATCATCATCACCACCAGTGTTCGAACCAAAGACCTTCACAAGAATACAAGAAGTTGTACCCAGCAAGGTCAATGGACGAGTGGTGAAGATGGAGTGCGTTTTAATTTTTAATAATAAAAAATTATGAAGTAGGCTATCAGGCTAGAGTTAGCATTCATTTATACAAAACTTTTATGCATATTATTTATACAAAATTTTAATTATTTATCTCTTCATAATAAATTATTAAAATTTATTATTTTTATCTTATTTTTTAAAAAATAATTATCATTTTATCTAAAAATTTATAAATAAATCTCAATTATTCATAATAAAGAGATAATTGACTAAAATTTTGTAAAAAATAATATGTATAGAAATTGTGTAATTTTTAAAAGTATTGTGAATAAATCTCAACTACTAAGATTAAATTTTTTGCCCTGTCACATAATCATCACCAGGAGGGAGAAAAATCAATCCAGACTATTAGCCACGCCAGAGTTGTTGATAAAAAATAAATAAATAAAATAAATAAATAAAATAAAAAGAAGAAGAAGAAAGAGGCCAACAGAGTACTGTTTACTGTTCAAAGGGAACATAAAAGAAAAGAAAAGGAAATTAACATCAAAGCATAGGGTTGGAAATTTTGATTTCTGAACAGCCTAATTTTTGAAAATAATATTGCGCAATGATAGAGAAATATTATGAATCTGAAGATGTTTGTATTAATTGTTTAAGTATAGTTGATAGTTAATAATATATTAATATTTAATAATTAATAATATATTAATATCTAATAATTAATAATATATTAATATCTAATAATTAATAATTATTATTATTTATAATTAAAAGTATCTAATATGTTTATTTAAACGCAACAGTTGCTGTTAATGAAATTTCAAAAACCGACACCCTCTTAGACTTATTTTGGGAAATAAAGAAGGGCCGGGTCACCAAAAAAACCTTACTAAATTATTAGTCATTAAATTTTTATTTTTTGTTATAAATCAAAATTAGTGATGAAATTTAAACAGTTAATAAAACTTTTATCACAAATGTTTTTAGTAATAAATTTGATATTTATTACAGAAAAAAATTTTATAATGATAAAAAAAATCAATATTATTAATGAGTTATTTTTAACAATTTTATTCATCACACTGGTTACAATTGAGTGATGAAAAAATATGTTACAAATGTAATTAGATATCTGTGATGAAATATTTAATTATCAATTATTTAAATTGATATTGAACCAAAAATGGTTTTTTTTTTCTTTTGACTTACATT